TTGCCCAGGCTGGTCTCGAACTGCTAGCCTCATGGAATTCTCCTGCCTTGGCCCCCAAAGGGCTGGGACTACAGGCATGAGCCACTGTGTCCAGGCTACCACCAGTGATTATTATCTATGTAATCATCTCAGAAACCTGAGGTGAGTTGGGGATGTTCTCCCAGTCTTGATTTTTCTCAGCATCCAACTTCCTAACTGCATCAGAAAGATTACCTTCAATTCTAGAAGATCCCCTTTGGCCAATAAATCCTATTTTCTCTCCATAGTTGCGGTGACTTAGATTCTGTACATGCTTTCCCTTTACAGTATGAAAATCTGTAGCGTCTATGCCCTAGTAATACCTCACCCAAAAGCAATAATGACAAAAATCTGAATTCTAAAAGATAAGAATATCATCTGGCTCAGAGAAGGATATGAGATACACTCCAATTTAAAAGAGAAAACACAGATTTGAGCAAAGACTTCAAAATGATGATCAGAAATCTGACAGGTTTTCTCTTTGGAAAATTCACTTAGCAAAGTCTCCCCGTGCAGATGGCAGAGATGTACTAACTGTATGATTTTACTTTTGCTACAATTACTACAGTAACATTTATAAGACATTCCACTGCTAATACCAATGTGTTACTAATATTCTCCTTAGTCCTATATTATCAATGGGAATGAAATTTCCATTTTGTTAGACAGCTGGGTGTTAGACTCCCAGAAATCATTTGTTTAATTTCAAAAGGGAAAAGGGTCTCAGAGGGCTGAGTACTTAAAAGGTATGTTTTGGGGGCTCAAAATGTTTTATGTGGCACTAGTAGTTCCTTCGGGCCTTCCCATTCACCTTAAAGGAAGTGCTACAATCTATGAGATATTGTTGCATAGTTCCCAAGAAAGTCATATAGATGAAGGCCAAATAATCCCAAAACAACCTTATGTGATCACACCAACCATTCATAGGAAATTGCGTTAAAAAACATAGGATTAGCTCAGCTACTGCCTAAGTAGATTCCAGGTGGCTGTATTAATTATCATCACTTAATGGGAACGACTGTTCAAAGCCCCCATTCATTTAAAAACAAAGCAAAACAAAGCACAAAAGTATCTTACAGATGGTCTTCAAACCACTTTCAACATATCCGGAAAATTCACGGCCCACACTGCTTAACAAATCTCGATTAGCCATCTGCAAAGAAAAATTACAGAGTTAAATATTATCACATCTTAGAACAGAAGCCAAATTCTCAAAAGAAAAGCTCATACCCTGGAATAAGCCTCCATGGTAGCTTTCAGCTGAGGAAAGCTTCTCGTGGCAAGGATCATGTTAAAGCAAGATTCATCTGTCCCTAGTCTTCCCTCACCAGCTTGATAGAGACGCTGAGCATCTTCCTGAGCCATCTGGTGGTTTACACTCTGGTTCTCATCACGATTTCCCTGCAAAAGAGGAAGGCAGGAATTAGTAGAAGGAAATAAAAGTTCTATTAAATTTTTGTTCCAACCTAGTCACTTTGGGATTTAAAGGGACAATTTAAATAAATGATCATGGTTTAATGATATTATGTTAACATGAGGGCTTTCAGAGATTTGAGAACTAAATTAAACCAGAAAAGGTTTAAACAAAAATATTTCCACTAGGAGATATAAACTACCATTCAAATGGAGAGAGTATAACTCTCCTTAGCTTGGATTTAAAATCAATATGCATCATACTGAGTTCTACTTTGTATTCATTCATACAACTGAAAGGTACTGAGCACTTTCTTTGTGTCAGGCACTATGTTAGGTGGCAGGGACACAAGAGAGACAAGGTCCCTGCCCTCAAGGAGTTTAAGACTAGGGAGGAAGGATATAATACAGAGGCTTCATAAACTTCCTTTCATTCATCTAAGTGTAACCTTAATACGTATTAATTAATACTACATACATAAAAATGACACATGAGCTTTTTAGAAGAAGCTATAAATAACTCAAGTTCTGCTAGACTGTGCAGTTTGTATACCAAATTCTTCCCTGGGATAGGAGGGAAGGTGGGAGGGAGGAGGCAGTTGGTTTCTCTCAAAATAGAAACCCAAACCCAAACCAAGGAAAGGCTGCCCTCTAGAGTCTCAGTGACCATTCGATGAACAAAACAGAAAGATTGGAAAGATGCTCCTTGAAGGTGGAGAACTGTCTTCTGAAGAGCACCTATGTACAGGCATATTCTAAATGGGCAACTGAATATAGCACAGGTAAAGGTGCTCAGGAAAAACTTCCCCGATTTTTGCCTTTGGATTTATACATATAGTCCCATTTTCCTAGCTACTCTTCTGCTCACACCTGGAAAAGGTATGACCTTGAACTTGCATAAAGAAAACTATGCACCTCATGTACAGTCTTAATAATCATTCTTTAGCATTAAATGTCTGTTCCTGCTTTTTTCTTCTTCTTCTTCTTGTTCCTTTCACATCCTAACCTGCTTCCCTGCTCTGTTACTCTGATGTAGGTAAATTCAGTTTCCTTCAACCCATTTGCTTTCTTTTCATTTCTACATCCACTCACTTTTGCACTCTACCCTTGCTGCCACTACTTCCCTCGGCTCTCAGGAGCCTCTCCTCTGCTTTTGGATCCCTCCAGACAGTCCAACCTTGTGCACTGGCAGGATAGCCAATAACTTCTGGTATTGAATAGTCTTTTGCATCATCTCATTCCAAGTATGTTCCTAATAGCATTCCAAATACCCTAATTAGAGTATTTTCTGTCAATTCTCTAGTACATTGGGGAATTAGAATAAGGAAGGTGCTAATCACAGTATTATTGTGAACTCTGCAACGTTTTTCTGCATTTCTGGCTCTTCCCACATAGTCCTCGTCTCCTTTAGTACTTCCATAGCCGTCCTGCATGTCTTCAGTTAATGGCCAGCGTCATAGGCAGGATAGTGCTAAGCTTAAATGTACAGTTTCAGGCCAGGTGCAGTGGCTCACGCTTGTAATCCCAGCACTTTGGGAGGCTGAGGTGAGAGGACTGCTTGAGGCCAGGAGTTCAAGACCAGCCTAGGCAACATAGCGAGACCTCCTCTCCACAAAAAATAAAAAAATTAGGCAGGCGTAGTGGTACATGCCTGTAGTGCTAGCCACTATGGAGGGTGAGGTGGAAAGATCACTTGACCCAGAAGTTCAAGGCTGCAGTGAACTATGACCATGCCACTGCACTCTAGCCTGGGTGACAGAGTGAGACTATGAGTCAAAGTAAATGAATGAATGAATGAACAGTTTCATTCTAGCCACAGAGCCTCAAGCTGGTTTCTGATTCCATACAACCTTAAAGAGGTTAATTTCTGATTCCTTACAAAAGCTAGATTTGCAGAAATAAATCCCAATAGTAACTACAAAGACATCTGTACACTGGATTCAGTGTTGCCCCTCTTAAAAATGGCAATATTTCAAGATTGCTAAATATCAAAAGGAATAAAGGACGCTCACTGGCAACAGGCAATAAGTTCCCTTCACCCACACACATACATTCATGCCGCACTCACCTGGCACATGGACACAAGTAAGCGTTCAAAATGCCCTGATGTATCTGACCTAATGTCCTTTTCAAGGTCTCGTCCAAATTCTGATCGATAGCATCCGACGATTTCTCGGATTTCCTGATTTGTTCTTGTGCACAAAATCTCAATCAATACACGTTCCTGAGTTCCTGCTCCCTATGTGAAAAGAAGGAAGAATTATACAAAAGAAAATCAAAATTTCTAGAAGTAATTAAATCTTACTATTTCACCAAGTATTTCTTTGTTCTCTATAATCAAAAAACTATATATTCAGATGATGTGAAATAATGTATTGCGTTATCACTGTAAATCATTTATGGGGTTTTACATACGAAATAGAGTAAAATACAACAAATGACATGTAGTACCTGCATCGCGTTCCGTAAACTCCAGGCATCATAATATGTAGGAGGCATGAACAGGGCAAGGATTAGTTCTTCCATATTTCCACTTAACTCTGATTTGAGATCTTTGATTAAATCCTATTTAATTACAAATGCAAGCTTAGTACATGTGCTCTCCAAATTTTGTCACTGACATCTTTTTATAGAAAATATGGGGCTGGGTACAGTGGCTCATGCCTGTAATCCCAGCACTTTGGGAGGCCCAAGAAGTAGGATCGCTTGAGGCCAGGAAATCAAGGTTACAGTGAGTGGTTACAGTGAGCTATGATCATACCAGTCCACTCCCGCCTGGGCAAGAGAGAAAGATGCTGTCTCTAAAAAAAATATGGAACATTGAAATAGAATTGCTTTATAAAAACCTGAATTTCAAATCTGATTATGTAAGAAATATATATATTTAAAGTTTGTTACACTCAAGCAGATGTATTTTATTCATTCTATCAATAAACAATAATAATTATTTTTTTGTTGTCGTTGTTTTTGAGATGAGGTCTCACTGTGTTGTCCAGGCTGGTATGGAACTCCTGGGTGCAAGCAATCCTTCCCCTTTAGCCTCCCAAATAGCTGGGATTATAGGCACATGCCACCACACCTGACTAATAACAAATCCTTACTGCAGTTCTACCACTGTAACAGATACAAAGACAAGAGATACATGAAACAAAGAATAATTCAAGCTTCCCTTGCTGGGACTACAGGCATGTGCCACCACGCCCGGCTAATTTTTTCTATTTTTAGTAGAGATGGGGTCTCGCTCTTGCTCAGGCTGGTCTCAAACTCCTCACCTCAAGTGATCCTCTGGCCTTGGCCTCCCAGAGTGCTAGGATTACAGACGTGAGCCACCATGCCCGGCCAAAAAAGGCTTTTGAGAGAAGCAAATAGCAAATATACCACTTCTGAGGTCTCTAAAGTCTAGTTGTCTCTCTATACCACAGGTACTAATAAAAAGATAGGATTCCAATCTGACATGAATGCAGAGTCTACAGGCCACTGCTCAAGAAAAAAACATACCTTGCCATACATGGTCTTAAAAGCTGCTTTAATTTTTTGCCTCTGATCATTGGAACGGTTGGCCACAACATCCACAATTGCTTGCTCGTCTGTCCCTGAAAGAACCATACATGTTTTGTTTTGTTTTGAGACAGTGTCTTGCTCTAGTTCCCTGACTAGAGTGTAGTGGTGTGATCACGGCTCACTGCAGCCTCTAGCTCCTGAGCTCTAGTGATCCTCCTGCCTCAGCTTCCCGAGTAGGTGGGACTACAGGCATGTGCCACCACACTCAGCTAATTTTTCCTATTTTTAGTAGAGACAGAGTCTCACTCTTGCTTAGGCTGGTCTCAAACTCCTGAGCTCAAGTGATCCTCCCACTTCAGCCTCCCAGAGTGCTAGGATTACAGGCGTGGGCCACCATGCCCAGCCCCAGACAAGTTTAAGTAAGGACAAAGTCTGTGTTGGGTGCTCCTTGAGGTTATCTCTTAGAATGCTTACAAGGTGCTAGGTCCTAGATTAAATTGAGGTGTGTGCACCAAGGCTGACACATAAACTTGGTTTATGATACAAGGTTTTATAACCAGCTCCATAAATGAGAAAACTTTCATAGTTTTTTTGTAGTTCTCTTATGCTTCGAGTTCCCAGGGCAGTAAGATTTGCTGATAGGAACTTTGTAACTTTCTGTTGCACTGATGCATTCCCTTTTGTGTTTCTTTCCCAGCCTTTTCAAGCCTTACACCACTTGTTTGTCCAGAGAAGACAAGATAAGCAATGCCCCATCACAGATTGTACCCTAAGACCCCATGAGCAGCCTACTCCCTTGCATTCTGCCTACACACAAGGCTGAAAGAATGACCAATATTAACACACCCAGCTCATTACACTACTAAAATCCCCACCCTGGGAGGGACTTATCCACCATTTTTTGATCATGGGATCTATCTACTAGCATGATTTTTCACTGTACTTGCGTGCCCTGCACTCCGCCCCAAACATGTAATGATGCTCACTCCCCTCATGCATCATTCATTTTACCTCCAGAAAAATCCCCGACCCTGTTGATTGCGAACAGAGATTTGAGACAGTTCATACCTCCCCCTCCCAGTAGACATGTCCCCTGTAATAAATCCTTTCTTCCTTGACAATCCTCGTTGTCTCAGTAATTGGTTTTCTGTGCAGCGAGCAACAGAGAACCCCCCCTTGTGGGTTTGTTAACAGTTCATTTTTACTTTAGAATTAATCACTTTAACTTATTATTAATATAAAAGACAAAAATCTGTTTTCCTTACCAAAACCTTTCATTGCTTTACGGAGAATTTCTGCATCTCTCATAGCATCGAAGTTGGCAGCTGGTCTGACTGTTCCTTGAGTGCCCTGAGTCATCGCAGCAGGCTGAGAACAAAAGGCATAAAATCCAAGTCAGGACTTCCAATAAGTTTCTAATAAAGAAACTTAAAGACTTCCCCAGACATCACGCTTAGAAAAGAAGGCCAGTGTTTGGGTTTTAGGGCAAGGATATAAGCATTTTATTAGGAGGGCTCATTCTAGAACAGATAGGAAAGACCTATACTCCTTCAGATGGATTTTCTCCTGCTAACAGATAGCCAGACACCAAACTTGCAGGAGAAAAGGTGGTCAAACCTGTGAAGTTAAAGTTACAAATCTTGTCTTTCAGTAGCTGTGTAGTCCTAGACAAGTTTCTCAATCTCTCTAAAGCTCAAATTCCTCAAATCAGGAAAGTGAGCCAAAAAAAAAAAAAAAAAAATTACTAAGGTGTTTCTCTTCCAATACTGTAATCCTTCTCCTACCCCAGCTAAAACAAGCTTGAAAATGCTAGATCTTTATAAATATACAGTATAGAAGTCAATAAGAAAATCAAGACAAATGTAAGCATAAAAGTATACTGCTTATGTTCCCAGTAACTTGAATATGATATAAAAAAATTAACAAGACAATTTAAGAATAAAACAGTTAAGGAGCTATATAGAGACAGGGTAAAGATTTGATATATGAAATCGGAAAGTTTCCCAGTAGGGCTACTAAGAAATCAATTCAAGACTTAACTGGCTACCATGTTTAAAGCCCTGCCAATCACTACAGGGACATAAAGATAAAACAGATACATCTGAGTCCTAAAGGAAGTAGTGAGAGATAAATATATGAGAAATCAGAAACAACTGAAAGCACATACAGGGTACTTAGTGATTAGTGAACATTAGAAAACCTTACTCACTTCACTGCTATAATCCAAAGAAACAGGAGAGAAAACAGGATAGGAAGGAAAGGACTCTGTATTGATCTGAAAGAAGAGTGGAAAGTATAAAGGTAAAAGTGGAAAACAAAAACCACCCTTCATAAACCACTGCCAGAAATACCAATCAACAAATTGCCCAAGTTCATAGTTATAACTGCTAGTAATGGCAGGGAAGTGGTAGTAGAACTAAAATCAATGCCAAGAGCCAATGTGAATCTCTAGGATAAACTATGAGCATCATCACCTGTGAGAAGGACCTATGCTTGTCTTATCAAAGTCATCAGGACAGTATTTAAAGCAGATGGACTAAAGAGAGCACAAGGTCTATCAGAAGCAAAGATTAAAGTGTTAAGTTACTGTCACAGACTGTTTTCTCTGCTTCATGGAAACCTCTTATGTCAGCAAAGGAGTGGTGCCCTTCTTTGGCATTATCAATTTACCTAGACTAAACTTAAATGGTAGGATTCGGCCGAGCATGGCAGTTCATGCCTGTAATCCCAGCACTTTGGGATGCTGAGGCAGGAGGATTGCTGGAGGCCAGGAGTTTGGGATCAGCCTGGGCAACATAACAAGACCCCCTCTCTACAAAGAAATTTAAAAATTAGCCAGGCACGATAGCACATGCCTGTAATCCCAGCTATTGGGAAAGATTAGGTGAGAGGATCGCTTTAGCTCAGGAGTTCAAGGTTACAGTGAATTGTGATTGTACCTCTGTACTCCAGCCTGGGTGACAGAGTGAGACTCTGTCTCAAAAAAAAAAGACACAAAAAAACAAAAAAAGTAGGAGTGAACATACCTGACTAGGATAAGGAGCTTGTCCTCCAGGATACTGTCCTCCAGGAAAGCCACCTATGTTTAAAAAAAAAAAAAAAAAACAAGGAAAGAAAATGTACAGCAAACAGGCATTAAATAATTGAATTTTTCAAAACAGCATTATTATGAATATGGAAGCATAAGAACATTTACACTATGATATTCATTAGGATCATTTTTTAAATATTATAATTTACTGAATCTAAAATCAGCTTTGGTCCTAAGAACCCTTTTTTTCTTGAGACAAGGTCTCATTGTCGCCCAGGTTGGAGTGCAGTGGCATCATCATAGCTCACTGCAACCTCCCACTCTTGGGCTCAAGTGATCCTCCTGCCTCAGCCTCCTGAGGAAAAATTTTTCCATTTTTTGTAGAGACGGTCTCGCTCTTGCTCAGGCTGGTCTCGAACTCGTGAGCTCAAACGATCCACCTGCCCCGGCCTCCCAGAGTGTTAGGATCACAGGCGTGAGCCACGACACCTGGCCATGATATCGTTTTTTTGTGGTCAGCTGGTACCTACCAGGTAGTGGGACCTGTGCTGGACCCCCACCATAGGACTGTGAAGGTGGCTGTGGATAGCCAGAAAAGCCTGCTCCACCTGGTGGGACTCCGAATCCTTGGCCGGGAGGAACTTGAGAAAAGAACAGTTCGATAAACTACAGTGACAGTTCCATGATTACAGAGATAACTTTAGAAAAATGTCTACTGTTAACAATGGAAAAAATATGCTATTAATGCTGTAACAGCAGTCCCTTTTGGTCTAAACTCAGAACTTCAACTTCTCACCAACCCCTTCCCCAGTAAAAGATACAATTTTTAAAATTTTACTTTATTCATCTTCCTTATTAACTTACAATACAAAAGCATTGTCTTTTTTTTTTTTTCAACCTTTGGATAAAGCTGTCCTAAAGGTCAGAGTCATGTTAATTCAAGTGTCTTAATCAGGTCTTAAGATCACAAATAACCATATGAAGCAACCGCTTGTCCATTTAAAAAACAAACAAAAAAAGATTACAAATAACCAAAGGATTATACATTGGTCCTTTATTACCATTAAATTTATTGCAATTCCCTTCACAACAGAATTTTTCAAACTGCTCCCAGCTTTCATGCCCCCTGAGAACTTTTATCCCTCTATCTTGCCAGCTAGGTCCCTTACTGTCTGAGGTTAGCTAAGAGCAACTCTGACCTCATACAAAACAAGCAAGAATGAACAGGATTAAAAGAAAGAAGGAAAGTGTTACAACAATCCCAGATCATTACTAATTCCACACCCATAACTCACCTCCAGGATAGGATGGAGCTCCCCCTGGCTGTGGGGCACCAGGATAGCCTCCAGGGGATGGATAACCTCCAGGTGCAGGGTAGCCTCCAGCTCCTGGGTAGCCACTACTTGGCACTTGTGGGTAAGCACCTCCTCCTACTGGAGGAAAGCCACTAGGATAAGGATACTGACCTGGAGGGGGAAAAGATGATTCCTGACCTGCAGGCTGAAAAATGAGAATAATTTTAAATGAATGTGATCATAGAGAAATATGACCCATCTAAAAATAAAGAACAGAGATTACCATTAAGGTCTAGCTTGTTTTTTAACTTTTTAAAAGTCCCATTAGAAATCTTGGTGTCTTATTCTAGTTCATACGTATACTACTTTCTCAGGACACCTGTTTGTCAGAATACAGTTAAATTTAATTCTATGGGTCAGGAAAAGAGGTTTTTGTTTTGTTTTGTTTTTCTCTATTTGGCAGTCAGAACCAGGTTCCTTACAAACCTCAAGGCTGCAGGAAAAACTAACGAAGCTCATTAGTTCCTTCATTTTCCTAGCATCTGGAAACACGAGAAAGATCCTCCTCTCTCTACCCTAAAGAGGAATTCATGGGCCCAGTGTGGTGGCTCACACCTGTAATCCTAGCATTCCAGGAGGCTGAGGCGGGAGGATTGCTTGAGGTCAGGAGTTCAAGACCAGCTTGAGCAAGAGCAAGAGCAAGAGCCTGTCTCTACTAAAAATAGAATAAAATTAGCCACATGTGGTGATGCGAGCATGTAGTCCCAGCTGCTCAGGAGGCTGAGGCAGAAGGATCACTTGAGCCTAGGAGTTGCTGTGAACCAGGCTGACACCACAGTACTCTAGCCCGGGCAACAGAGTGAGATACTGTCTCAAAAAAAAAAAAAAAAAAAAAAAAGAGGAATTCATAGCTTTCTTGTAACGTACCTGGATTTACTGCATAATATTTAAAAGCAAAAAAACAAAAAAGATGACCTGAGTCACAAACAGAGTGTGACATTTTGGACATAACAGTTCAGACCACAAAATGTCTAAGAGTGGCAGAGATCGTTAGGTGTTCACTAAACTCTTTCTTCCCAGGCCATAAAGCTAGAGACACTACATTACCCTGACCCCCTTACAGTTGGGTAGGACCACGATTGAATACCAGTGAATAAACATAGACAGAAGTGATGTACACCACTTCCAGCCTAGCCCCTAAAAACCTCTGCCCAATCCTCTACGCTCTTCCTTCATTGGTCAGCTGTAAGTAGAGGATCCAGTGGAAGACTCTAAGGTGCCAAAGGATGGTATTATAAAATCAAACAAAAGAGGAGTCTGGGAACCTGAAATACTACATGAAACAAAGCCTCCCCCCACCCAACTCCTACTGCACCACTAACTTCCAGAAGACTGAAGCAAGCAAGAAATATGTTTTTATTGTGCTAAGCCACTGAGATTTGGGGGTTGTCTGTTTCAGCAATTACACTGACTGAAATGGTTGCCAGAGTCCCGTTTAGTACATAGGGACTTGGGAACATATTCATAGCACTCATCTCTCCTACAATAAATTCACAACCACTATATATTCACTTTGCATGAGTATATACATATTATCACTAACCTGTATAGGCCTCTTTCTCCCAGCATTAGAGAACAGTACTTCATACTTAAGAGTATGAAACTGAAATGCTTAATTCTTACTTATACCTCAGCTCTGAGTTGAGTCTTCACAGTAGTACAACTATCAACAAGGTGGGATTCTGTAGCATATTTATAAAACGTACTCCAAACACTAAAAATCTCAGAACCACAAATCCAGGGCCCTCTGATCCACTGCAATTTGTTACTGAGTCAAGCCCTTCTTAATTATTTTAATAACCTTCTAACACGAAGGCTAAAAGCCAGTGATTCGTGGCATGGACTTAGCTTACATAAACGTCTTATTGGCTCATACAGCAGCTAACATTTTTAAAAACTTCCAAATTTTAAAAAATTTGGTGCATGAGGCCCCAGGTTCAATCCCCAGCACCTCCACTAAAAGAAAAAAAAATTGGGGCAATTTCACATAAAATCTAGGTTCCTGGCTTTACCTGAAGAATTGGAGTATCTAGCAACACTGGGATGTCCTCCGTGCACGGCCAAATCAAGCTGTAGCTGGCTGTGGTTGAGGCAAGTGCTTCTGAGTTCCCCATAATCCCTGCCTTCACTCACTTATTCTACACAGTACCTCTGATCTAGCATATCTGCAAGATCAGTAACGGGCCACTCCTATACACCACCTGTTTCGAGGACATGAGTTATTTTAGTATTATAAGCGGCAATACTTACAGGATATCCAGGGAAAGGTGGGTAGCCTGTAGGGGGATAGCCTGGGTACGACATTCTGTAACAATAAAAAATGTCCTCTGTAATTTCTTACAAGGGTTAAGGATTTTGAAGATATACAGACACACAACACAAGGTTTTATGCAAAATATCCCTTCTTTCAAAAGAGTCTGACAGGCACTAAAAATGTGGATATTGGTGGTAGAAGCTTATAAAATACTTCATTTCACCATTTGAGCTAATGGAGTCGGTACAGCAAAAGTTTCAAATTCCTTGTCATACCACACAATTTTTGTCATACCTCAATTTACTGGTACTGTTATTTAATATTTTTCTTTAAGCCAATTAATTTTTTTACTTAAATTTGTTTTATACCACTTCCATAAATGGAAAACTTACCATAGGTTTCTTGCCACAAACAGATAATATTAAAATGAATACATAACTATTAAAATAAAAAATGCTTTCTAGGTGCCACAGAAATCCTCTTGTATGGTGAAACCATATTATGGGAAACAATGGTGTAACAGTTAAAAGTTAACATTCTAGAGTCACACATACCCGGACTAAGCCCTGGCTTTTTATTTAACTTTTGATTATGGCAAATTTCAAGCTTATTCAAAAGTAAACTCCATGGATCCATCATCCAGCTGCAACAACTACCAATTCATGAACAATCTCATTTCTTTAATACTCTCACTCACTCCCCACCACTCCACTGGATTATTCTGAGGCAAATCCCAGACATTATATCCTTTTAACCTATATATAAACCTATATATACTCCAGTATATATCTCTAAAAACAAAGACTTTGTAAAAACAATTAACAAGGCTGTTTTAAAAATATAACCATGTTTCAATGTCATGATGTACTGTACTTGAAAAATAATATATATAACCATGTCATCATCACACTTAATATCTTTTTTTTTTTTTTTTTTGAGACAGAGTCTCGCTCTGTTGCCCAGGCTAAAGTGCTGTGGCATCATCCTAGCTCACAGCAACCTCAAACTCCTGGGCTCAAGCGATCCTCCTGCCTCAGCCTCCTGAGTAGCTGGGACTACAGGCATGCATCACCAAGCCCAGCTAATTTTTTCTATTTTAGTTGCCCAGCTAATATCTTTCTATTTTTAGTAAAAAGGTGGTCTCAGTCTTGCTCAGGTTGGTCTCTCCTGACCTCAAGCAGTCCTCCCACCTCAGCCTCCCAGAGTGCTAGGATTACAGGCGTGAGCTACCATGCCCGGCCAGTTTCTTAATATCAACGTATGACTGTTAAAATTTCCAGTAATCTTTTAAATGTTTTTACTATTTTATTTTGCAATTGTTTATTGACTTCATGGTAGAAAATTTCAAACATTTAAAAGCAGACGGTCATGTGCAGTGGCTCACACCTATAATCCCAGCACTCTGAGAGGCCAAGGCAGGAGGATTGTTTAGGCCAGGAGTTTGAGATTAACCTGGGCAACACATAGAGATCCCCTCACCCCTCTACAAAACCTGGCATACAATTCCTAAAATCCTTAATCTCCAAAGTGATACCTTTTTGTATCCTAATGAGTTGACTGATGGCCAGGTAGCTTCAGGACAGGGTTGATCACCAGAAAGTCCGCAATGGATTAGAGGGTTGAGATTTTCAGCACCCCCCAACCTCCAGGGAGGGGAGAGGAGCTGAAGGTTAAGTTGATCACCAGTGGTTTAATCAATCATTTCATGTTATGTAATGATGCCTCCACAAAAACCCAAAGCACAGGGTTCAGAGAGCTTCCAGATAGCTGAGCATGTGGAGGCTGCTGAAGGGTTGTGCTCTCAGAGAGGGCATGGAAGCTCTGCATCCCTTCCTCCAAAGCTCTCCATATACATCATCTGCATTCTTTGTAATATTCTTTGTAACAAACTGCTAAACATGTTCCCCTGAATTCTGTGAGCTGCTCTAGAAAATGAGTTGAACACAAAGAGGGGTGGTGGGAACCCCAACTTGAAGCCAGTTGTCAGAAGTTCTGGAGGATCAGACTTGGAACTGGTGAGGGGGTGGGGTGTTCAGTCTTGTGGGTCTGAGCCTTCAACTCGTGGGATCTGACATATATGTATAGAATATCCCTGAAAAGATACTTGAAGTAGAAAACAGTGGCTGCCTCCTGGGAGGAGAACTGGGGCACAATGAGGAGACTTACTTTTCAATGTACCTTTAGTCCATTTAGAATTGTGCACATATCATCTATTCAAAAAGTAGACTTTTTAAAAAGTTTTTGTAAAAAGCTAAACAAACCCCAGGATGACTCAACAAATTACTCAACTTTGCTCAAGGGACTAAGACCAGACTGGTGAACCAGGGCTTTTTTCTTTTCTTTTCAACATTTTCTGTCACCAACCACTTATAAAAGACAATCATTCTTGGTTCTCCAAACCATCTCCACCCAGTGAGTCAGCTAGTAAAAGGGTTGGGTCCTCACTATAGGTGTCTCATAGATGGCATGAAGCCCAGGAACACAAGAGGCAGCTGTTGCAAATTTATGGGGAGGAAATACACAAAACAGGAAGAGCGGCTGAAGATGGACATCAGCAGGTAAGATTTTCCAAAACTAGCCTCTGGGTCTGGAAGGGCCATTTAAATCAGACAGCAATTTGGATAAAGAATGAGGCATGGCTAGAATTCTGCAGGGACAGGTAGACTGCCACCCACCCACCAGTGAGGACTGAAAGATGCCTTAAGTTTGCAGCGCCAAAACTCTCTCTTCTACCTGCCTTATCTAGTTCTTGAAACTCCTTCCTTGCCTGACAGGTAACTCATTACACTCACTGCCTAATTAGGGCAGATTACTTTAGCAGATTAGCTCCTTATCAGCTGGCAGAAATTAGGGAGTTTAAAGGCAGTCAGAAGGCCAGAGACCATGCGGACAAAGGCCCGCTCCGCACGGCGCAGTCTATTTTCGCTTCCTTTCAGCTTGCAATAAAGTCCTTTTTCTCCCCTTAATAAAAAAAAGGCAGTCGGAAGAGACAGTCTTCATTTCTGTCACTTTATGGTGGACATCAGCCATCTCCCTCTGTATCTTGGTTTCCTTGGGGATGGAGTGGTATCACAACACGTTTGCTGGTCAAGAAACAAGGATTGAATCTGGAATGCTATCCTAAAACAGTTTTCAAGAATTGTAAATCTGAGCAACCTGAGGTTTGTGCATTCTGCCCTAGCGTTCACTAAGCACAATACAAATTTCCCAAGTTTCCCTAAATTCGCTGTGTCACTGGAAAGTCTAGTCACCGGCCAGACTTAGCCTTCGGTCTGCTCGCTGGTTTCCCTACTCAGCCTCCCCTGAGGTCGCTTCAGCACGGCTACCCTCTGGCCTCAGCACTTCCACCTGGGGTCCACCTGCCTGAGGGCAGGGCGTCCCTCGGATCTCCGCACCACCAAGTGGCCCAGAGGACCGACCGACAGGCCTTCGTCTTCCCGTACGCCGACTGGCCGCCTCATTAGTCCCACCCAATGCGCCCCGGTCCGGCAGCCCGGGTCCCGAGACGCCCACACCGAGTCGCCACCGCCCAGGAGGCCCACAGAGCACCTCCGCTGCGCGCGGGCGCGGGGCACAGGCAGGGAGGGCCGCACGATCTCTGAGACCGCAGGCCGCAGAGCGGGTCGAGGGCGAGGTGACCGAGACGGACTAGGGGGTGGGAGAGGGAGGGGGCGCCGTTCCTCACCTGACCCCTGGAGCAGCGTCACAGCCCAACCCGCTCGCCCGCAAGATGGAGCCGGGGCGGGCCCGTGGAGGGCGGGGCGCCGGGGCCGCCGCGCAGGCCCGTGACCGTAGCGGCGCAACCGGGAACGCCCCGAAGCTCGAGAGGGCGCTGAGGGCGGGGACTTTCGCTTGGTCCCGCCCCTCGGCCCCCCCTGCGGGAAAAGCCCCTCCCTTCGGGTGGCGCAGCCCGTTTTATCACGTTTCTAGGTCCCAGGGACCCTCCCCCAATCCTTTTTGGGCTCTCTCATGTCAATTAGGAAGTTGCAGCAGTTCCGGGGGAATCCCGGGGCCCCTTCAGTGGTGGGGAGCAGAGAGGGGCTGAGACTGGGAGGCCGGTGCAGCCTCTCTCTGCCTCTAAAATGGGAGACGGCGTTTTTTTATTAGCTTTCTGTAAAATGAATTAATATTTATTGGGAATTCTAGATAGTCCGAACCGGAGATGTACTAATCAACATCACTACGGAAGGCAGTTGTTAGGTGATTCGAGGATCTCCTCATGCCCTAGAGCATTAAAGACACATTAGTATTAAACATTTGAGGCAGTTACAAGGGCTCGAACTAATATTTTAACTCGTTAAGGAATTTGTATTCCACAGCAAAAACCAGTCTGTTACCTTTTACAGTGGTTCTCATAATGTAGTTCCCAAATTAGCAACAGCACCTGGAAACGTATTAGTAATGCAAATTCTCAGACTCCACCTTAGACCCACTCAATCAAACTCCTGCCCAGTAATTTGTTTTAACAAGCCCTCCAGATGGTTCTGATGCACACTAAAGGTCCAAAACCATCAACCTATTACTCTACATGCTTTTCAACCTAAAAGCTTCCTCATGGGGGTGGTATGGGGTGGTTACCATTTTAAGTGGCAAGAGGAGGATAAACATGGCCCCCAAGCAGGGGTGAAGTGGAAAGTATTTAATACTTGAGGTGCGTCATTGCCAAATTTAACAATGGTAGACAAAACTGCACAACATTCTGGATACCCAGCATTAATTCCTCAGCTTCCAACAGTCTGTCTACCTGGCAAATAAGCCTTTCTGTCCTTTCTGCTCCAGAGACCTCCAGAATTTGAGTATTCCCTGAGAAGCCTGTCCTTACTACTGTTTACACTATTTCTTTGGTGAGCTCATCCCCAACCCCTCCCTCTGCCTTAATTATCACCGTGAGAGGATATTTTCCAAACCTCTTATTTCCAGCCCACTTTCCTGAGCTGTAGGCCCAAATATCCATTAGCCTGTTCAGACACTACCACTACATTTCCCATTCCATCCTTTCAACTTGTCCTTCTTTCCTGGCATAAAAGGCACTTCAGGATCAGACAGCCTTTCCTCATGCTTCCTCTGTCTAGAAAGCACTGCCCACCTTTTTACAATTATTCATCTATTTAGACTTGATTCAAAGGCTGCTCATCTCTCTCTTGCTCCAAGAAACTCTTCCTGACCTAATCCTTTTTCCTTGCCTTCCCTTCGGGAGACTTACAGTATTCCCTTTTTGCACTCAACTAGACCTTTTATAGATGTCCACTGTGGCACATTTAATAGTGGAGTCAGAGCATATAAGCATAAACTTAGCAAAAACAAAGCAAAATACCTCTGAAGGCCATTGTATGTTCCAGCACTGTCAGAATCTGGTGTTTAAGTACACATACTTTTTTTGTACAGTTAGAACAGTAATTTTGTCCCTCAGGGGACACTTGGCAATATTTGGAGATATTTTGGGTTGTCAAAACTGGGGAAGGCTGTTACTAGCATCTAGTGAGTAGAGACCAGGGATACTACCAAGTATCCTACAATGCCTACAATGTTGTAGGATGCTATCAAATATCATACAATTTCTACAGTAAAGAATTATTCAACCCAAAATGTCAACAGTCCTGAGGTTAAGAAACCCATCATAGTGATCTTTTTAAAGAATAAATTGCATCATATCATTTCTTTGATTAAACTTCTTTAATAGGTTCCCACTAGAACCAGAATAAAATCAAAACTCCTAACCATGGTATTAGACCCTATATAATCTAGTCCCTGCCTACCCCTCTCATCTCATCCCTTTTTACTTTCCTTCTCAATTACTAAGCTCTGGTCACAGTAGCCTTTTGTTCAAACATACCAAGCCTGTACCCAAACACACCAGAGATTCTCAGGACTTTGCCCTTGCTATTGTTTCTAATCAAAATATTCTCCAGTGTCATCTAAAATGTCATCTCTTCAGAGAGGTATTCCCTGATAATGCAGCATTAGTAGCTGCCACAGCCACCAATATCACTACCAATTATATACTCATTACTCCATTTAATTTTCTTGATAGTACTTAAAAGTATCTGGAATGCCATGTTTACTGTTTGTCTCCTCCACTAAAATGTAAGCTCCTCGAGAACAGGGATATCTCTATAGCCCAGTAGTAAGTGTTCATTAAATAATTGACTGTCTGATGGACTACAATACGGCCCCTAAAACCAAGCCAACTACATCATCTGGTGATCAACTAAATAGAGATGCCTTTCCAATATTGAAGGAAAAACTAACTCTGCCAGACCTACTGAGAGGACCTATGGTAGTCCTATCCTAAGGGATTTTCAAAGGTAGTTTTGAAAATATTTTTTTTACTTCATGTGCTAACTTTAGAAAATATAATTATTATATTGCCCTTGCTTATGTCAACCTCCTATTAAACTGAAACACTTTAAGGGAAGATGCCATCTTAGAATCCTCAGCATTTAGTATGAAGCTAGACATTTTAACTTTTATATACTATCACCACCATTTTATTAAGTGGGAAATTTTTGTGTCATCTGTTTCTGTCTCCTGATTAGACTCTGACAGATATACCACCCTTCAATAATCACAATCAGTAACTATATCCTATAAATTTTACTTTCATGTTCAATCTACAAAGTGTCACTATCTACTTAACTTATAAATTACCTCTTGCTTTTCATGCCCACCACTATTATCTTAACCGACAACTGCACTATCTCTTGTCTGAACCATGACAATAGTGTACCAACTTTCAGTGGGTCATGGTAGCATATGCCTGTAGTTGTGGATACTCGGAAGATTCAGGAGCCCAGGAGCCCAGGAGATGGAGGCTGTAGTGAACTATGATCATGCCACTACACTCCAGCCTGTGTGACAGAATGAGACCCTGTCTCTTAGGGGGGAAAAAGTGCTTTTATATTTTCTAAGATTTACAAAAAAACTTTTTTTTTAGAGACAGGGTCTCGCTCTGTCACCCAGGCTGGAGTGCAGTGGTGCAATCATAGCTCACTACAGCCTCTAACTCCTGGGCTCAAGCGATCCTCCTTCCTCAGCCTCCTGAGTAGCTGGGACTACAGGTGTGTGCTACCACGTCTGGCTAATTTTTTATTTTCTGTAGAGATGAGGTCTCACTATGTTGCCTAGGCTGGTCTCAAACTCCTGGCCTCAAGCAATCCTCCTGCTTCGGCCTCTCAAAGTGCTGGGATTATAGGCGTGAACCACCACACTCGGCACCCCCCAAAATTTAGAGTTTATTGAAATATATAATCTGCTGATATCAAGTATATAATTCAATGGTTTTTAGTACAAGAATTGTGCATCCATCACAATTTTAGAATGGTTATATCACCCCAAAAGAAATCCCATACCCTTTAGCCATCACCCCCCAACACCCCTATCTTCCCCATCCATATGCAGCCACTCATCTACTTTCTGTCTCCATAGACTTGCCTATTCTGAACATTTCATATAAATGCACTCATACAATATGTGGTTTTTTGTGACTGGCTTCTTTCACTTAATGTTCTCAAGGTTCATCCATGTTGTAGCATGAATCAGTACTTCATTCCTTTTTTTAAATTTTTATTTTTATTTATTTATTTATTTGAGACAGAGTATTGTTCTGTTGCCGGTAGAGTGCCCTGGCATCAGCTTAGCTCTCAGCAACCTCAAACTCCTGGGCTCAAGTGATTCTCCTGCCTCAGCCTGCCAAGTAGCTGGGACTACAGGCATGTGCCACTACGCCCGACTAATTTTTTATATTTTTAGTTTCCCAGCCAAATTTCTTTCTATTTTTAGTAGAGACGGGGTTTCCCTCTTGCTCAGGTTGGTCTGGAACTCCTGAGCTCAAGCAATCCTCCCACCTTGGCCTCCCAGAGTGCTAGGATTACAGGCGTGAGACACCACACCTGGCATCACCTCTCCATTTTTTAGCCCAAATTGCTCGATGGGAAGAAAGTCTTTTTCATATGGAAAAGGTGGTTCTCATTCTTCTCCTCAGCGCTATGTGGTTCCAGTCAAAAGGCATAACTTCCTCACAAAGGAAACTGTTAGGAACTCTATACTCTGGAAAGATCAACATCAGGGCCTCTTGCCAACCACTAACTCTAGAATCCTATCTCTAGAAACTACTGTGGCTAAACTCTTAGAAATGAGTCACATAATACAGGAACTCTGACTCAGCTGAGAATCTTTACCCAGATAGTGAATGAGGTTTAGAATATAGTGGGTTTCAAAGCTGGCAACAACCTGGCATTAATGGGGTAATTTCATCACAACCACTTCATTTTCCAGATATTCAGTCAGGATCTATTTAAACCCCACCATCTACTTTCTCTTCCAATCGCCTCTTATCCAGCTGGCAGGACCTTCCAAGAAACATGATATAGTAGGCACTGCAGTATACTGGCTGCTTGTTGGGGTTGGAATAGACCTGTTCAGGTTTGAGGGACATGAAAGGATTAGCCCCATAGGCAGTGATGTGTGTGTCCAGTTCCACCAGAATCTGCAAAGAGGATGCCAATTCCTGATGGCTGTGGAAGAGAGATAAGAGAAATTGCTCTAATGATTATGAGAGATAAGGGAGAAATTGCTCAAGAGCCTGACATTTCTGGACTCAACAACTGCCCAAATTACCCAAGGCTACACTAGGCAAGAGATATCCCTTCCTCCCAAATGTCTCACTAAATACCCGATTAACTAGTATAGGACTTTGTTCCAAGGGGATGAAAAAGCCACATGTGGGGAGGAAGAATATCCTTACCATAAGGTAGATGAGCAAGGGGGGAGTAAAATGAGCTCATCTTTATAAAGAGAGGTATGAGTCAGTCAGGGGAGTATCACATATACGAAGAGGTCCAAACCTGTAAAGAGTAATCAATGTAGGGATCTTGTAGTCACGAAGTAGCAGCAAGGTGGGCAGCCAAGCTTCCATCAAGTCTGGGGAGGAATGGAAACCTATGGAACAAAAATGGAAATAAGAAAAGGGAGGGGAGGGCCGGGCGCGGTGGCTCACGCCTGTAATCCTAGCTCTCTGGGAGGCCGAGGCGGGTGGATTGTTTGAGCTCAGGAGTTCGAAACCAGCCTGAGCAAGAGCGAGACCCCGTCTCTACTAAAAATAGAAAGAAATTAATTGGACAACTAAAAATATATAGAAAAAACTAGCCGGGCATGGTGGCGCATGCCTGTAGTCCCAGCTACTTGGGAGGCTGAGGCAGAAGGATTGCTTGAGCCCAGGAGTTTGAGGTCGCTGTGAGCTAGGCTGACGCCACGGCACTCTAGCCCGGGCAACACAGTGAGACTCTGTCTCAAAAAAAAAACAAAAAAAAAGAAAAGGGAGGGGAAAGACTAAAGTAGACTGTAAGAGCAAGATATTTCTTTGATTGTGTACACACCATCCTTCACTTTGCTCATCCCCAATACTCATGATCGTCCACCCCAGTTTCTTCTTTTGTTTTTGGGTTTTTGTTTTTTTTTAAAGCAGAGTCCTGCTCTGTTGCCCAGGCTGGAGTACAGTGGGGTGATCATAGCTCACTGCAACTTGGAATTCTTGGGCTCAAGGGATCCTCTTTCCTCAGCCTCTTGAGTAGCTACAACTACAGATGGATGCCACCATGCCGGCTAACTTATTTTTCAAATTTTTTGTAGAGAGTAGAGACAGGGTCTCACTATGTTGCCCAGGCTAATCTTGAACTCCTGACCTCAAGTGATCCTCCTACCTTGGCCTCCCAAAGTGCTGGGATTACAGGCATGAGCCACCACACCCAGCCTTCAGTAGAAAATTCTGAACCCAGGTGTAGTATATATGGCAAATTATCAACCAAGATTGTCATCATATTGTGTTTAAGGAGACCACATGAATGGGGTCCCAAAGATAAAAGATGCAAGATTCAGGATGGAAAATTCTCAGGGGGAGCCAAACAGTATTCCTCTGAACCAATGACTTACCTGGATGGAATGCCACTGCCAAATCTGGACGGGCTATCTGCCCAGTCTCTACCTGCTGCTCCCAGAAGTCATGATAGAGGTCCCTGTGGCCACTAAGCTGAACTGTGCCAGGTTCCAGGGGTGAAGTTGAGGTGCTCTGTGAAAAGCCAGTAGCCACGTCTACACCCACCATGATCACACGGAGTCCAAGGTGTCCAGGAAACATGTAGCCAAGCTCATCATAGTCCCCAGGGCGAGCAAGAAATGTCTCCACATGGGAAGCACCGATCACATGTACTGCGCTTCCCCCAGTCTTCCTAACATCTATCCCGAAGGCCCTAAGCCCTAGGCCCACTGTCAAGGGCCTTGATAGGGCATCTGTCAGTAGCCGCTTCAAAGATCCCTGCAGGGTATCTGGGTCTGGCCTTGGCCGTCCTACACTGGCCCATAGGGTGGTCATGGCATGACTACCTAGCACAGCATCCAGTGTAGCATCTAGCTGTGACCCTTTCATAGAAAACCAGGTGTCCCAGTCTTGTACGACTTCACCTGGCCATGGCCAAGGTCCTGAGGGTAGGACAAAATCACCTGCAGGAAAGAAGGAATAAGAAGTAACCTAATCTTAATCATCAGGGAAATGCAAATTAAAATCACAATGAGATACCACCTTACCCGTCAGAATGGCCATTATTAAAAAGTCAAAAAACAGATGTTGGCATGGATGCAGTAAAAAGGAAATGCTTATACATTGTTGGTGGGAATGTAAACTAGTACAACCTCTATGGAAAACAGTATGGAGATTTCTCAAAGAACTCAAAGTAAACCTACCATTTGATCTAGCAATCCCACTACTGGGTATCTAAGGAAGTCATTTTATAAAAATGATACCTACACCCAAATGTTTATTGTAGTACAATTCACAATTGCAAAGATACAGAATGAACCTAAGTGCCTACCAACTGAGGAGTGGATAAAGAAAATGTAGTGTATATATTAATATACACCATGGAGTACTACTCAGCCATAAAAAGGAATGAAATAATGTCTTTTGCAGCAAGTTGGATGGAACTATAGACCATTATTCTATGTGAATTATCTCAGGAATGGAAAAACAAATACCACATGTTCTCTCTTATAAGTGGAAGCTAAACAAGGGGTATATATGGTCATAAAGTGATGTAATAGACATTGAAAACTAAAAAGGGTAGAGGGTGAGAGGGGCATGAGGAATAAAAATCTGCCTATTGAGTACAATGTACACTCTTCTGGTGATGGGTACACTGAAAGCTCTGACTTCAGCATTATATAATTTATCCATGTAATGAAAAACACTTGTATCCCCTATATCTATCAGGAAAAAAAAAAAAAAAAGGTAATGTAATCCTTTCCTGGCTTCAAAATTCCCTTCTCACTAATGATCTATATTCCCTCTATGTTCACTCTGCCAACCAGTGACCAGGAGTGCCCCATTCCTTGCCCCAGGTTCCTCTTTTTTCATGACAATACATTTTCATATATTCCTTCAAGTACAACCAACTATGACCATTATAGCAAAGTTTCCCAATACTACCACTCCACCTGTGACCAGAAGCCATTCCATGAGACGGTCCACAGCCACAAGACGAAGCTCTTGACAAACCCTCCTGTGTGCTGGCCAATCTGACTTCTGGCACTCTGGACCACAGTAATAGACATTTCTGCACCTGAGAGAATGAGTCACAGGAATAGATGTTGTATACATAAAGGTGATTGGGGGTGTCTGGGAAAGGGACTGATATTCCTATACCTAGGAAGAAAGATCAGTGAATGGGTCAGGAAGGTAGGGAAAGGAATGATACAACAAATTTGGATACTGCATTTGGCAGAAGAGGCAGGAGATAGTTGGAAATATAATTATTCTCCCAGACAAAGTGACAGAGTGACAATCTCTATCTATCTGGAACATCTCACTTTTTATATCTCTTTTAAAACAAAACAAAACACCAGGAGTTTGTAGCTGCCCTGTCATCACAGGTATAGTTCAACCCCAACCTTCTTAAAGCAGATGTGGTCTGACACTTTGAGTACTCAAGAAAAGGGAGACACAGAGGATTGTATTGTGGTCTCTTGTCTCACTTCCCTGTGACACCAAAAATAAGCAGGATTAGAACCCTGTTATGATCACTCTGTAGTCCGGATGATACAAAATGAGGAAAGAGCCTTAAGTTAATTAGAAACCTTTCAGACCTTTCCTTTTGGAATGAGGTCTTAGTACAGGGTCATTTCTGAATGTCTCCCCATTACCCACCCCACGAGTCACCTTTTGCAGTGCCGGAGGACCTTGGAGTCTGAAAGGCCACTAGGGAGTGCTCTACAGTGAGCACAGAATTGGAATGTGTCCTCCATCCTCTGGAACATTTCTTGAGGACATCGAAATCCAAAGCCTGATACAGGGATACCCCCATCTACCACCAGCCTGCAGAAACAGCAGGCAGAAGAAAAGGCAATAAGGAAAAGAATATTTCCAAAATCTCTCACGTCCCCCATCTTACTTCCTATACCACCTACTCCTATGTCTCCTACCGATACCATTTCTCACTTAAGCCAATTATTTCTATAGTAATAAAACTGGCAAAAGTTAGGATATGAAAATCCCTCACTGCAAATATCCCATATTGCCCAAATTATATTCCCTTTCTACCTTCTGAAATCACTTCTACCAAATACAATATATCCCTCTTCCATAAAGCTGGTCACTCACTTGTATTCTTCATAGCTTTTCATGTTCAGCTTTTGAAGGATCAGCTGGGATAGGCCAGGAACATTGTTCTCCAAGGATACGAAGCCAAGTGCATCAATGCTAGGGCCAGGTTTTGAGGGGGTCAGAGGCACAGGGGTCACAACTGTGGGTGGGGTCACAGGCACAGGAGCCACAGATGAGGGGAGTTTCTTGTGCCTTCGTTGCCGCGACCGTGGAGCCATGGCCTGTCCAATGATACCTGGAGACTATAGGCAGAACAGATATGGAATGGAATTTTATAAGCTGGACACATAGTATTTTCATATGCTTGACTTTCACTTCTCCTTCTGGTCTCTCAGACCCAGGTTATCAATAAGATTTAGTATTTACTGATTACTGACCACCACAGGCAGCTGTGAAAAATAGAGGAGAAATAATTATATATGAATATAATTTATACATATATGTGTTACATATGAAGTTCTATACATAATATAGTAACATGTAAGTAAATGCATGAAAAAGATCTGGGAGGGCTCACAGAAAACTGATAACAGTGATTAACTCTGAGTAGGGTAAGAAGGCAGTGGGATAGGAACTGGGTTGGATCAAGGGTGACTTTAGACTTTTCTGTAACGTCTGACTTTCTAATAAGATATTCACATATTTTTAGTGTATTTTCAAAATTGACTTAAAAGAGGAAAAAGCAACAGTTTTGGCTGTCCATAGCTACCATCTATTTGGAGAATTAACCAATCTAACCTAGTTAGAGAGATAAAACATTTATTTTAAAAGACCTATCATCACGTTTACAAGCAATAAACTATGAAATAAATGTAACACTAAATGTATACCACAATGCTAAGAGTTATGTAGTCAAAGCAAGTCACACAAACTACAAGGAAAATTTCCTAAAGAGGTAAGTTTTGAAGCAGAGGTAAGCCTACACTCTTGCACCACCTAGCGAGGACTTTGTGATGTCTTCTTTCCCTGTCTCATTTTCTCCCATGCTTTCCACAAGAGCTGAGTAGACAAAAGGGACCATATCGAGAAATACTAAGACATCCATTTATTCAATATATATTTGCTAATAAACAGATGAAATAATTTGCAGAATATTATATAGAAACAAATATGAAAAATACACTATCTCATCTAAATGTCTCACGGGGGATTAGATGTAAGCTATAAAACAAGGTATTATTATATGTAAATCCTACAAGAAAAGTGAAACTAAAGCACTAATGGAAGATCAGAAGAGATTCTCTTCAGAGGGTGAGCCATAGGAAGACTTCATAAAACAGGTAGCAGTTGGAACAGACCTTGAAAGATCGGAATATTCTGAATACGTGGAAATAGGGGAAGAGGAATTCTAAGCACAGAGAAGAGAATGAGAACAAAAATGTAAATAGGCACACTCTGGAAATTAAGAAACAGAATGACTTGAGTTCGAATGTTAAGTCTAGAGATCTAAATATAAGGGCTAAAACTATAAAAACGTTAGAAGATAACAGGGGCAAGCTTCATGACATGGATTTGGCAATGATTTCTTAGATACGACACCAAAGCACAAGTAACAACAATAACAACAACATAGATAAATTGGACTACATCAAAATTAAAAACTTTTGTGCATCAAAGGAAATTACCAACAGAGTCAAATGACAACCCACAGAATGGGAGATAATATTTGCAAATCATGTATCTGGTAAGGGGTTAGTATCGAGAATATTTAAAGAACTCCTATAATTCAACAACAAAAAAACAGACAACTCAACTAAAAAATGGGCAAAATATTTGAGTAGAATTTTCTAAAAGAATATATGCAAATGGACAACAAACAAGAAAATATGCTCATTAGTCATGAGGGAAATGCAAACCAAAACCACAATGAGATATCACTTCATACCCACTAGGAGGACTATTATCAAAAAACCAGAAAACAATTAAGTGCTGATAAGGATGTGGAGTAATTGGAATTCTCAAGCACACTTATGGGAATGTAAAATGGTACAGGCACTATAGAACACAGTATGGCAATTCCTCAAACCAGCAATTTCATTCTTAGATATATATACCAAATAACTAAAAATAGGTACTCAACCAAATGTTTACACATGAACATTCATAGCAGCACTATTTACAATAGCCAAAAGGTAGAAATAACCCAAAGATCCACCAATGGATGATAAATAAATTGGGATT